TCGGAGGCGATGTTTGCGAGCTGCCCGTAAGGACGGAGCTGACGGAGAGAGGAGCGCGGGAGGCTCGGCAGTGACCCGCTGCCCCTAACTTTAGGTGCGGGCCGGACAACGAGTAGTAGTAGGGGTGTAGCGCCACAAGGCTTGCTCAGTGCCCCCCCCCCCCCCCCCCCCTGTTTCTTTCCATCCCACTTCCCGATGTTCAACTTCTCGTCAATAATAACTGATAAACTCCATCGCCTAATGTAGCAATGTGCTCGCCAAAGTTTTGTTACGCTACCTAAGTATGTTGAAGCCACCACACTCGAAACTATCGACACCGTCAGCTGACACTTCCACAGGCCAGCATGAAAGAACACCACAGCTCAGCGGTGGCGGTCATCTCCGAGCGGAGCGAGTGATGCTGTCCCCAGCCTCGATCGCGACGGCCCGACCCTCGCTTGACTGGGTACCTGTCAACCTTCTTCAGAGATATCCCACCCCTATAAGGATTAAGGAAGCGACCAACACCCACCACGATGTCCATATCCAAGGCACCTTGCATCAGAACGGACAAACTATCGCCAAACTGCATGACAGATCATCGCCACCATCGGACTGGCCACTTCTAGCCCTTCACCTTCTTCTTTCAGACCCATCTACGTCCACGCGTTTGTTCTCGTTAAGGATAAATAAACGAAATATACCTCACGAGGGGCAGGCGGGTTTATGATCAGCGGTTCGTGGCGTTCGTAGTTGAGAGCTAAGGAGCTCAAGATGGTTGTCTGTCTTCAAGAGCGAAGGAGCTAGAGAAGGCGCTTGACTCGGACAACGCTTCAAGAATTACTAAACTTCAATAACAACCTAGGTATTTGGCTATCCAAAAACAAGAAGTAATAACAAACAAGATACAATAGAAGAGGAGAAAAAAAGAGACGGCTCGTCATCACATTTCGTCAGACATGATCCATCCACCGCTCATGATACGGTTTCTTCTAGTGCCCATTAACACCATTGGTACCATTGCTCCCACAGCAGCTGCCTCCACCATTTGCCCCATTCGTCGTTCCGTTAGTCTCAAAGGCGAGTTTGCTCATCTTATCGGCAGCATCATACACCCCCTCACCTTTAGCCAACACCTGGCTCGGCGTGCACGAGTAACTGGGCGGCACATCCATGACCGGATTTCCAGCAAAGAAGTTCCTCGGCCTGAGCAACAGCGTCATCGGTTCAGCCGGCATGATGGGGAAATCTTCTGGGGAAGGGAAATGCGTGACACCAAACGTGTGCCACAGCACCACGTCCGTGTTGTCGATGCTCTCGGTGCCGTCGCCGATCCACTCCGGCAAGCCGCGCGACGGCTCGCCCGACGTCTGCGGCACGTGTCGCCCGGCCGGCCAGAGCTGGTCGTCCCGGTACTTGGTCACATGCACGGCGTGCCGGGCGAAGGCAGCGCGCTTCCACACCAGAGATCCAGGTTTTGGCAGCATGGTCAGCGCTTCTCTCGAGACAAGCTTGTAGCTCACCGGCTTGCGGCTGTACGGGTTGAGCTTGTTGGGGTTGCAGATCTCCCACGTGCGCGAGGTCTTGCTGTCGTAGTCCGTCACGGCCTCGCCCGTCGTCGCGAGCTTGGTGCGCTTGTTGTAGAAGGCGTTGCCGTAAAAGTTCTCGGGCGAGCCGACGGGCGCGTCGGACGTCACTGCGTCGTTGACAAAGACGGTGTTGTTAGGCCCGTCGACGTTGGCATCTATGCGCAGGCAGAAGAGATGCTGGTGGTTGTGTGCGTTGACACCGGTGTAGACCTGCGTGCCCCAGCCGTGGGTGTCCTCGTCCGGGTCCATGGCGTACGTGTTGAGGATGCCGGTGAGCTTGATTTCCGGCTGGATCGTGCCGTCCTGGTGGAAGACCCACGCGACCACGTACTCGTAGTTGGCCGCCGTGAAGATCTGTTGGACGATCAGCTTGCGCCCGCGCGTGACGATGACTGAGTCGTCGCGGAAGTCCGTGTGCTTGAAGAGGATGCCGGCGTCCTCCTCGTGGATGCAGATGGCGTTCTTGATGGTCCGTAGGCCGCCGGCTTGTGTGGCAAAGTGCGCGTCCAGGTAGTGGATTGAGCCCTTGCAGTCGCAGCCCAGGGACAGGCTGTTGGCCATGTAGCCGGCGCCGTACTCGCCCTGGTCGAGGGCGTGCTTGCGCTGGTGTGGGTGTTCGGGGTTTCCACTGTGTTTTTCGCAGGTTTGTTAGCTTCAAGTTTCCTTCCTCGTCCAAAGTCAGACCTTCAGAGTCAGACTTACTAAGGCACAACCATCTCGGCCAGCGACAGCCGGTAAAAGATGGGCCTGACATTCCCCTTGTCGTTGAACGTGATGTTGTTCAGCACAATACCCTCACGATAGCTGAAGCCGATGTGAAACTTCCAGTTCTGCCACTCGATCTCGCGCCCAGTGAGCTTGAACGACACGCCCTCGGGCTGTGTGATGTTGATGGGCTTGATGTCCGTCCGGTAGCCGTCGCCACGCGCCTCGACGGCGGCCGGGTGGTAGTCGATGGGTGGCGCTTTGCTGAGCGGGCGGCGCACCTTGGGGATGTCGATGGCAATGATCTCCTTCTTGCCGGCGTCAAAGATGGGACAGAAGTCCAGCGGGTACTGGTACTGGCAGTTGTCGAGCTCCGGGCGGTAGTACATGAAGGCTTGCTGCAGGCGCACCTTGTTGCCGAAGCGCTCGTCGTAGCCGATCGTCCACGGGTCGCAGAAGACCTTGTCCATGTCTTCCGCAGCGATGCCGCTGATGACGCACTGCTCGATAACCTTTGGGTCCTTGCGCGCGACGTGCTCGACGTACTGGAGCTCTTCCATTGTGATCTGTTTCCGAACAACAAGGTCAGAGAATTAGCCAGTGAAGAGGGGAAATTCGTTGGGCAAAAAGGAGGGACATACAATTGGCTGCTCCCCATCTGTTTCGACCCAGGCCATGATCTTGGGCTCATCGAGCGCCACCAGACCATCGTAGACCTTGCCGTCGGGAGCAATCACGACGACGTCGGCGATGCGCTTCGGCCGGGGGGCGCTGTCTGGGGCCTCGAGCCAGGCCGTCATCTCGGCCTTGCGCGGCTCGTGCAGGGACACGACGTTGAAGCGCACATCGCCGTGGGACTTCTTGACGATCGCGATGGTAGTCTCGATCTCGGATGGGGAGAGGGGGTCGAAGGGATGGGGGAGGTCTGTCGTGGCTCCCATGGTGGCGGTTGGAAGTTGGAACTGGGAAGATGTCTGGGTATGAAGAAAGGTGCCGTTGAGGAACGAGGGAGATGAGATGAGGTAAACAATAACTATCTTGAACAGATGTGGTCTTCAACTAATACATATATCAATCATAACCATCGGTTCATGGTTGGCCATTCTCATGTGTAAGTAGGTGGTCATCGTTTGTTCGCCCCACCCCTCTTGATAAGGAGTTCTCGTTCCCCATTTTCTCCAATGTTCAATGATACGATAAGGAGTGATCGAATCGTTGAAATCAATCCCAATTGTCAACTGGTTTGTATTGCATGACAGTGATAAGCCCTACCTTCATGTTGCCACGAGATACGGTGCTTGCCCTGCCCCGCATCCCCGACTTTGAAGCATCCGATGACGGAACCCGCCAATGAGCTGGTGGAGAAGCTTGGGAAGTGCAGCAACGCCGAGCATCTTGGCGCCGACATTGAGGGATGAGGGGTTGCTTCTCCAGATCCCGAATTACCGGCGGAGGAGGCAAAGAAGTTTTTGTGGCTTTCGGACATGATGAGGGGTTCTGGACTCCGGGACTTTTTTACCTGGAATAGTAATCCGCTAGCAAGAGGGACATGTTCATATATTGAAGGTAAGCACGTGGTTTTTATTTTGCTGCTTTTTACTTTCAATTTGTCCCAGCAGCGAATAGAAACGAAAAAGGATCGAGAAGTAGGTTCGGGCATTCGGCATTCGACCCGGCTCGTGGAACTCGCCAAGTTTTTAGGTAAATACCTTATTTACGGTAGTTGATACTAGTAGTATCAGGATTACATTACACTTGTCAAGCGTCAAAGTAATTACTAGAACCAATGGCAAGTCGTCTCGAGATCTTATCTCTTCGACTATGTGGAGAGACGCAGGTATTACTGGAGACAACTAAATCAGCCATCGGCTGCGTTTCCACCATCCAAATCGGTTGTTTTGCCAGGGCATCTTCCCCTTGCAGATCTGGTCAGGAGATTCAAAAGCGTCATGTGTAATAGGGGAATATAAGACACGCCTTAGTCCAACGGGGACTCATCTGTGGAGAAAATCACGTTGTAACCCTGAGGCGCATCATGCAAGTGTTGTCCATTCCACCCCAGACGCGGAACTCGGAAATCAGTAATCCTCCGGGACTTGTTGAATAAGATATTTTCCCGGGGTTCAATTGTCTAGTAAATGCAGAAGTGGTGAGGTTCTTACCAGATATAGGATATCATGGTTCGGAAAGTTGGTCAGTTGGTATGCTGCGGACTCGGAGGATAGAGACCGGAAGCTTACGTGCGTGGAGCATGCAAGAGTTGTAAAGTCTGTCCCGGATATAGGTTTTGAATAGTACATGACACGTTGGAAAAACCTGAAGCTAGGATAATTCCAATATGGTATGTAAGACTTGCAACCTCCACCCTGATGTGGCTTTGCCAGTTTCTCTACAATATTTCATATTCGGAAGACCGGGAGCTTTGTCTTCAGGCGTCTTGCTATTGATTACATATAGACTCAACCCCTACGTTAGAACATCCAGTATGGTTTTTGGATTTTAATTGGTCAATCTGCTCATCTCGTACTATGTCGAGTGCTTTTCAACTGCAGCTAAGCATTGGCTACGTGATATGCAGATTTCCGTTTGACGTTCAGTCACCCCTGAATTTGAAAACAAATAAGCTCCACCTTAACATTCCATAATCAATACTTGAGCCCTCTTACCCACTACAGCCGTCATCAAAGCATCTCCACTCCGTCAAACGGTAGGCGAGTCACGTAACAAGGGTACATGGTCTAGTGGTATGATTTTCGCTTTGCATAGTCTTCCTCAAGAAGGTTAATCTCTGTGAAAGGTCCGGGGTTCAATCCCCCGTGTATCCAAAACACTTCATTTTTGACTTGAAGAGCACTTCATATGATGATAAAAGGGATTCCAATGCCAACTTTCCTAGTTGGTGATGAGGTATTGAAACGGTTCAAGAAACTGTGTCAATTGTTCCTTCTGACGAAGCTCTCTGTTTTTTTTTTTTTTTTTTTCGACTCCTTCCTCCATCTACTTGTCCTGGTAGAGAAAAGGGAGAGTAAGGAAGTAATACTTTTTTATAGGGAACAGCGGTCAATGCCGCCGTCGGTCGTCTATGACATGAAGGAATAACTTGAGGTAGATCGCTAATTACATAGATATTTCTATTTGCACAGTACTCGCTCCGGTGAAGGTGTGTCTTAGGCAAGCTACTTATTTGGCCTCGGTCACTTCCGGCTCTCCACCTTGCTCAACGGCTACGCCCTCTGGCGGTGCGAACGGCTCAGTAACATGTTTCCAGGCGTCGCGAACGAATCTGATGCTGTCAGTCCAGGTAGACGGCCGAAAGGGGGTTTAGCTAGAGGATGTCTCACTTTGAATGGCTTCCCCTCGCTACCAACTGGTCTTGTTGGTTGTAAAATTTGATTTCAGTATAAGCCATAATTTTGCCCACTTCGAGATGACTTGTCAGTGTTACTCTCTTCGGAGAGACGGGTGGGTTTGTCTTACTCTTGTCACACTCGGCGGTTGCTCGGATGGTGTCGCCGACCTTTCCGCCGCTCCTGAGGTAGGTGACTAGATTGGTAGAATCAGCAACGGCTCAGGACATATCGGGGCAGGGGGCCCACCGTTCAGATCGGTGGTGACACCAGTCTGGTACAAGCCCATTGATGCGACGGCCAGCGAACCACCAAAGTCGACCATGCTTGCTATCGCTCCGCCATGGATGATATTGAGCCGGTTCTGCGGTGCTGGTCAGCAGGTACTGGTGCGGGACAATAGTTCGGTCTGGGGAATATACCGTGTGGTACTTGGTTATGTCCAACTCAAAGTCGACCTTGCCCTTGACGGCGTTGGTGACGCGGATCTTTGACAGACAGACAGCCAGTCAGTTTCCCGGCCTTGCAGTCGCGGCAGCTCAACTCAAACTCACATGCTTGTCAAAAAGTCTGCGATAAGTGTCAGTCAGCCTTTTTTCTGAACAGCTGATGATCACCTAGGTACTAACCTCGGCTCGAGACCAGACTCGGCCATGAACGACTTTAGAACCTTGAGTTGCAGCAAGTCAGTCCTCCAGTTAGCAATTGGAATCCAATAGCCGTACCGTTCTGACGAATGAAAGCGGTGGTAACGCTTTGGTCGGCATATTGGCGGTCACAACCTCAGTTGTTGTTGCTTGCAAACAGTTCAGGCCTTGTGGTGTTTCGTCTGGTATGGTACGTACAAGGGACTTGTCCGAATACCGTCAACCGACCCGACACCAGCCGGCCAATTCCTTATCGTTATCCTTATCGTTATCTGAACCCTCCTGTTTTTGACGGGACTGACGGGGGGCAGGGTTCCCCACGCCATACCGACCCGTCTTGGTTAGTGCAGGCCTGTGCGCACCTTGCGAACTGGGAGTCGCCTGCCGGTGGCCTGGCTGCCTCAAACCTGCCCTTTGTTTTTTGAGGTCAAATGGAGGTTTGGTGATCCTCAAATTCACTCCTGCTCTTGCACCGGTACAGGCAGTGAATTCCGACCTCCGCCGCGACAATAGCTCTTCCAATTTCTGACTTTCGCATTCTTTCCGAACGACCGACCAAAAGAAAAGCCCAAGTCCGTCGCGGCCCTGCCGAGAGATGCTCGGGATCATGAGATAGCATCACCACCACCACATCGATCGCGCAATCGACCACTGTCAGAATGGCGGGCGCGCAGCAGCAATACCGCCCCGAGCAGTCGTACCAGCTTACCGACTACCTCGCGAAATTGCCCGGTACCACTTTTAGGAAACTCTACCAGCAGCCTTCGACCGCCTTTGCCATCTTCCGCCGATTGCTCACCCCTCTCGGTACGCGCGCCCTGCCCACCGTCGAGCGCAATCCTTGCTGACTGACCTTTTGAGCACAGCCAAAAGCATTGTCCAGGCCCTTCTTTACATGCCCACCCCGCTTCCTGTTTCCCAGCTCGACGTATGGGTGACGCCCGATGCAAAGAAACTCAAGACCGAAGCGCTGGTCACTCTGAAAGCGCTCTACATCATTCAGTACTCGCCCGGTAGGGATAGGCAGCAGGATGTGCAATTGACAACAAACTTCAAAAATAGCCTGCAATTGGCCCTCGAGGGCAGCGGCGACCACAACAGTTTTGGCATACCGAGCACTCTGCCCGTCGACCCCACCATCACGATCGAATACCTCGATGCCTACGCCTCCAAAAAGTGGGAGGACATCCTGCACTACGTTGTTAACAGCGTGAGTGGTCTCAACGACGGGTATAGCGGCGGATCGACTGCCGGCCCAAAAGCCAGTGTCAAACAGCTGCTGCTCGCCGGCAATCTCGTCAAGCCGCGCCGCGACACAAGAGCCGGAATAGGCATTACAAAATCCGGCTTCACATTCCTGCTGCAAGAGGCTAATGCCCAAGTTTGGACCCTCTTGCTCCTCTGGCTCGAAGCCGTGGATGCCTCGGGTAGCTCCCCCGTCGACATGCTCTCATTTCTCTTCATGCTCGCCTCCCTGGAGCTGGGGCGCGCCTACGACACTCATGCGCTCACGGAGCCGCGGCGCAACATGCTTCCCTCCCTGGTCGACTTCGGCCTCATCTACATCCCGCGCGACACACGCCAATACTTTCCCACACGGCTAGCCACCACCCTGACCAGCTCCGCCTCGGCGCTGCGGTCCGTCTCATCCAGTTTCGCCGCCGCCACGGCCAACACGGGCACCGAGATTACCGCCCTCGGCGCCACCCCGCCGACCGCCGACGACAAGTCCTTCATCATCCTCGAGACTAACTACCGCATCTACGCCTACACATCCTCCCCGCTCCAGATTGCGGTTCTATCCCTCTTCACCCAGCTCCACATGCGCTTCCCGGGCATGGTCACGGGCCGACTGACACGCGACTCCGTCCGCAAGGCAATCGGGTACGGCATCACGGCCGACCAGATCATCACATACCTCGGCTCGCACGCGCATGACGAGATGCGCCGCCGGGCGAAAGCCGAGGGGAAGTCGGTGCTTCCGCCCACGGTTATGGATCAGATCCGGCTGTGGCAGCTCGAGAATGAGCGCATGTTTACGGTGCCCGGGTTTTTGTTTAAAGACTTCGAGTCGCCTGAGGAGTACCTTCAGCTTGTGAAGCATGCTGAGGACTGCGGGATATGCGTGTGGAAGGACGATCGACGCCAGCTCTTCTTCGCGTCGAAGCATGAGCCGATTAGGGATTTCCTGAAGAGCCGGAAGAAGGTGGAGAGTTAGACTGGGATGACGATGAGAAAGATTTGAGCATTGGCCGTGGTTGTAGGTTGACAGACGGCTTTAGAAGATTTTAGCGAAGCTAGTATGTGTCGATCTTATTGCATTGGGAGGAGTTAACGGGACGGTGATCAGGACGCCAACGGAAGGCGAATTGGTGGCTATCGCGGAATATGTTTCTGTACGGGATACGTGATGATTTTTTTATTTTCATTGGAGTATCAAGGAAAGACTTATAGAGAGGACACGGCTTATTGGTCATACTGGATGATATCATCAAACATGCTAGCTACGTATTGTACCATTTTGCTAGGTATTTTAAGCTTTGGTACTAAATAAAACTACAACAACCCGAGCCTTTCAAGACAGTTTCCCAGGGGTACACTGGGTAGGAGGCAGGTCCTGTCTTCTCCATGTCCGCACTCAAACGATGTGAATTTGCTGCTGCCCCCTTGTTACACCACCAACGAGAGCGAACCCCTGAGCTGTCAACACCTGGTTGAAAGAATAAGGGGCAACCCCTGACGAGCCTAACGTCAGCCAGCTTATGTACATAGCAGATAAGAACAGATGACAATCGCTTTCGTGTATTTTTCATTAGTGTCTCCTCTTCCTCGTCTAAAATAATTATCAACACTTTCACCGGATATTTCAATGATCTTATTTGAGTGGGTGTCATCTAATTCCGTTGATTTCTCCTTTACGCTCGCATCCACAACAGATCCATGGGATTCAATATTTATATGGGTAGGTTCTGTCCTCATCTCGCCATACGAAACAGTGGAAAGGTCGGCGTACGGCTGGATTTACCAAGGTATTGGAAGATCCACGGTGTCATCTCCATCAGACAACCAGAATAGAGCCAGCAACCAAGGCCTTAATCCTTTTGGCCGAAGGTTACCACTAGCAGGGTCAATCCAATACGCGGACTGCCCCAAGACCATTATTGCAACACGCACAACTGGAGAAAACAACCATCTTCGCAGTGCCCTACGACGGTTTGAGCCCGCACTTCGACCAGTGGAAAACGCCAGCCGGACTGGGAGAAGAAGGACCGAAACTCATTGACGATTTCGCTCTGGTATTCCATAGTGTGTCTGGTCAAAGGCCGACGGCAGAGAGAGGCGGAACTGAAAAAGCGTAACCCAGGAATTAGCATGCGAAGAAGAAGAGCTGGAACCGGACGTAGAAGGGTGCGCAGTTCCAAGAGGGACATGATGCAAGATCTTGGCCTTAAAAGCCGCCCAAGGGAAGCATCTCAGAGGACTGAACCCCGTCAAAATGACCGCTAGAGCCACCAGTTAGGTGCTACCGGATTTTGGCCAGCGGACGGTACGAGAAAGCCTTGCCGGGAATTATTTCTCGCGTGCTTGTTGTCCTCTACTGGCGAGTCGGTCCCGTTACAGACCGCGAGCGCCTTGAAGGCCATCGACGAAAGATCGGCATCAGAGCCGATACTCAGGGCAAAATTTCCAATAGCATTTGTGAGGGAGCCAAGAATCAGATTGTCTTGCAGAACGTGAAAAGAAAAAGAATAATGTGAAGCGCGGACTAGACCCGTTCGTTATATATGACTACTCGAAAACCCCAGCCGAGGGTAATCTCTCTCCTTCTGG